TAATTTAAAAAAATCACTCCAGATCTTTTTGACTAGCTTTGTTTCCAGAGCCTTGGGAAAAGCCAGCAGAATCACCTCGTGGGAGATACCTCAGGTCCCTCCCTGTGTGCCAGAGGCAAGTGACTGATGAGCAAAGGAGCGAGTGTATGCGTGCGGCAGGAGTGCTGAGATTGCAGCTCACTTTATTGGTGTAGTAATTCCTCTAGACCCATGTTTTAGCCACCTGTTGATGAATCATTCTCTGAAAAGGTAGAACGTGCGTGTGCCACTGTGGGTTATGTTGTGGTTGATGCAGCTTTTAGTGGTGGCATGGTGCTCTTCCGGTTCTTCTGAGCTGGAGTCTGCTTGGACAGGCCTGAAGTTCACTGACATACATGAAAATTGCTGGTTTGTTTTGCTTTTCCACAAGAATGAAAGCCTTAATGTCAACGCAATGCTCTAAACCTTTTCTGGGGAATGCCAGAGGGCCCCTCCCTACGTCTGCACTGTGTAGAAATTGGATTTTGCAGCATGCTGGAGTGACATCCTTGTCTGTAATGCTCCCTGCATCTCATTTGCTAAGCATTGCTGTCTGCCCTTGCTTTTAGGTTGGCAAGCTGCTTTTTTCTCCAGCCTCACAGAACCATGAAAATACACTTGCCTGCCCTCAGCGCAGCGCCTCTGTGACAAAAGAGATAATGCTGCCCATCAAAAATGACCCTAGGAAATGGGAAAGCAGAGATTGTAAAGCTGCTTTTATAGCCACCCTGTTGGCACAGTGTCTGTTGCTTTTGGTTTCTCCTTGTTTTCAGTGTTAGAACCTAGCAAGCTAAGGGTTTCTTTAACGTAAAAGCGTTGTGTTTATCCTGTGTAATGAGCTGATTTTGTGTTTCACGAGGTTGATGGCCAGCAAGGACCTGCATTCTCTGAGGGAAAGTACAGCTCCTATTGCCCACAGAAAGCTATCTCACCAGCTTTAGAGAAACATACAGAACTTTGGCCAGAGCATATTTGGTCCTAAGGAATCTCTTAAGGGAGACAAGAAAAGAGACACAAACAAAAAACAAACGAATCTGTTCTTTAAATGTCCGCGTCTTGTGGAAATGTGCTCTGTGTGAAGTGCTCTGGCTGGCAACCCCAGCCCTGTTGTGTTCTGTTGTGATGTGTTTGGAAGTGTTTAGGAGAATACATCAAAGAATTCTCACTGGGATTTTCAGGAGCTCTTCTTCACCACAAGTTGGATATATTACTTCGAATGTTGCTGTTTCCTGTGCAGTACCTGTTGTGGGATCCTTTTTTCCCTGAACTCTTAACAATCTTGTGTGCTCAGTGATGCTCATGCTCCATCATCTTTTGCAGAATTACAGAAGACTCTGCAGTGACAACATTTGAAGCGTTAAAGGCTCGTGTCCGTGAGTTAGAAAGGCAGCTTTCCCGTGGGGACCGCTATAAATGTCTCATTTGCATGGTGAGTAGCACTCCACTTGTGGTAATGAATCAGAAATGTCTTGCTATCTTTGCTGAGGAGGGGAGAAGCTTTTCTTCTTTTTGAGGTGGAGTGGGCAAACTCATCTTTGTCCCTGTACACCAATTAGCCTTCCAAAGGAAGGTGCTGGGTGGTTTTTAGCAATTGAAATTTCTGTATGCATTATGTTGTTCCACTGGTATTTGTAGCTGTCCATTCCTACCAGGGATAAGAAAGCCCCAACTTCAGAAGACTTTCAGACTTCCTGTAGAAAACTCCAGATACCAGTGTCCTCGTCCTGCATATGCAGATTTACATATGTAAGAGAGAGCAGAATCTCTGATCTGAAACCTGCCGTATGATTTGAGAACAGAATGGTGCCTGAGCATTTAAAAGTTGTCGATGTCCTACTTGCTCAGTGGTGATGCTGTGGCCTTCTGAAAGAAGGGCAGCAGCTCCCTCTGATGGTCTGAGCCTGCAAAGCTTTGCATCTCCTGTTAGGTTTTTATTCTGCTGATGGCAGGAGAAATTTCTGCTTGGTGGAGGGCTCCCATTGCAACTTCACCATGATGCATGGTGCTCTCTCTTCCAGCTCATGACCTGTAGGTATGGGAGTACAGTCCCCATCTCACAGAAAGGACGACAGCTTGCTGCTGATTTCCAGAGGTTTATTAGCAATGATAGAAGATGGTCAAGAGAAGGCATATCTGCTGAGATAGCAGCAGCATTCTTGGGATGTAGTTAAGCTGTTCCTGCAGAGCTAAGAGTTGTGATAAGGGTTAATCTTACCCTGTCACTGGTTTTTGTATGATCTGGTGACCTTTCTGATGAGAATAATGGCAGGTGGCTGCAGCAACTTCAGATGCTCTTGCGATAACTGTGCTGAGCCAGGTCACCACTTGAGTGGATTATGGGCTTCCAACAGGGGTTCTAGGAAGCCAGAAAAATGGACTGCAGAGACTTTCTGCCTCTGCCACGCAAACATGACAAAAATACAAACTTACGTATTGCACAAACTTATTTTTTGTAATACAAAATACAAGGCAATGTTACCCACAAAGAAGGGTGTTTTGATGAGGTTGGGAGCAAAGAATCAGTAGAACTCTACTGTGGAAATAACCCATTTGCCTCTTCTCCTCAGGACTCCTACACAATGCCCCTGACTTCCATTCAGTGCTGGCATGTGCACTGTGAAGAATGCTGGCTGCGGACTCTGGTGAGGCTCTTGGCTACTTTCTTGTTGACTTACAGACTTTTTCCTCTCTTCTGGGATACTTTCTTTAAATCACCACGGGGAAAGGTGCTTTTTGCTTTATTTTAAACAATCTGAGTGCCGTGCCTGCAGACATCCCAACCAAGCCCTGCTGTTTAACACGCCGCTCTAGCTTTGACTTGAGTGAATTTTGTTTGAGTCGTCATGATCAAAGTGCAGTCCTGCCCCTTGCTCCTCTGCAGCTGTGGGGACAGCCATTGCTCATGTAAGAGCTCTGTGCCAGGGACAACCTTGCCTTACAGTAATTTCCTGTGGGGCATCCATGCAGAGAGGTAAAGCTGTGAGAATGGAGGCCAAATCCACTGAGATTTCATGGAATGGGTAGCTTCTGAGAAACCTAATATTCCCCTGAAGCAAAGGGAATCATCTTCAGGATAGATGATATGGAAAGGAGCTTTTATGAATATAAATCTATATTTTTCAGATTATTTGAAATAGCACTGTGCAGTTTTCAAGCATATGCCATTCTGTTTGGAAGATTGGGGACTAACTTGAACATTGAATAGGTGACCCAGTGCAGTAGTGATTTATACATGTATTAAAGGACATCAGGTTAAAATTTGAAGTGTTATTAAATACAGTGTTTTCCTTTCCTATATTAAAACTGTGAGCTTTATAATCAGCTTTTAACGTCCTCTGTGCAGCTGATTTTCAAGATTTCCGTTTGCTCAGGTCGGAGAGCGGAAAATAGTCAGTTGTGCTTTCTAGTTCTCCTGCTAGCAAGATGATACAGTGTTGGGTTACAAAAAATGTAAGGGAATGCCACTCCTAAAAACTGTTCCTGTAAGGCATTGCAAAATCTACTTTATAGAACACGTTGTGTGCTTGGAATTACGATTAAGCCGATCATGCTCCTTTAAATCCTGCCTTTTAAAAGTCTTGTCCAAGAAAAGTTACCAGGACGGTGAAGTGCCTGTGGGCTTGAGTACTAATAGCAACTCAATAACTTGGCTATCCCTTGGGCTATATTTTATAGCTCTTCAGCTACACCCTGTCACTATTTAGATTATACAAGCTTTTATAAACATTTTAGCTGCATGTTATAAAAGACACATATGTGGGTACGTAGCTGTGAGGTGTTTGGATGAATGTGTGCTCTGCCACCTTTGCTAAGTGAAGAGTAATTTTGTCCTTCAGCGGTGCTACAAGCAGAGGATAAAACACTAATTTCTTTTTTATTTTCTCTGCTCTGAACTCTTTGTCCTCTCCTCTTCCCAGCAGCCTCAAGTCATCTTCTAAATCTGTGGCACCGATTTCAGGCTTTCTTAAGCTCAGCAGCAACTTAATTAAACTTCAGTCCGGCCCTTTTGTTTCGTGTACAGCGGCCACGGCTGCTCGTGAGAACTGGGAAACCCCACTCCAGGTGCTCAGGGGTTAGCATTTACCCTTGCAGAGGGGGAGTCATCTTCCCCCTAGATATCCATGAGGAAGGTGGGGACAGAGCTGGCTGTGTGTGATCTGCACATCGCTCTTCTGCCGACCAGGCAGGCAGGATGGGAATAGTCCAGCAAGACTTTGTGTTAGGACTTGGCACTTGCATAGGGGAAGCAATTAATAAGTGGCTACTCATGTGTTCCCCAGTCCTAGCCTCTCCCTGCAGCCCCCAATTTATTAAACCAGGCCTTTTCACAAGGCATGCTTGCACTCCCTCTCCCGTCTCAAAAAAAATCTCCCAGCCTGTGTTCGCATGTTTCTAATGTAACCATTAAAATGTAGCCCGAAGACAGCAATAAAAACCCTGGAACGCCTTGGTGCTTTTGTGTCTTGATCAAAGTCAATGTGTGTAATCTCGTTAAGACTGCCCTCCTTCCCCCCTCCTTTTTTATGAATTTAATGGCATACAGCAGCTGGGCTCAATGTTTAATGCTCACCAACCTGCATTGTTCTAATTAAGGTATCTCCTTTTATTTCGGGCACAAAAGAGACTCTTGTTTTTTTTAACAAGCGAGGAGCTGTGGGATAGTGTGTGTAATAATCGCTGCTGTTACCTTTCCCTGGGTATAAAGCTGGCTCCGCAGCGGGGGCGGGCGGAGGGAGCCTGCGCGTGCAGCACACATGGAAAGACTTGGCTGGGGGAGAGGGGCAACATTTTTCTTCTGTTGTGCAATAAACAATTTGTTGGAGTTAATAGGAGTTGGGGCGGGCGGGTTGTGTCGAGCTTCCGGCCCCTTTTGAACATTCTGGAGATCTGCCATCCCTACTGGTGAAAAGTCCCCTTTCTCCTGTACGCCTGTGGTTTATATGCCCAGCCGAGATCTAATATTAAATTAGAGTGTGAGTGTGTCTGTGAGAGAGAGAGAGGGAGGACCGTGTATTGAACAAGGCCCTGGAACGGAAGGCTCGGAGTGCCTGGGAGCACTTCTAAACCTCTGCAGGGTATTGAAGATGGGGTGAAATTTGATGCTGACATCTGCCTGTGGATCAGAGGAGGTGAAGTGTCTTTTAAAAGGTTTAAACATTTTCTAGGATATGTTGCTAGAATGATCTGAACATCTCTAGTATCCTCTGACTATGGTGGTGTCTAGGGCGCTGATGAGGATTGGATCTTTAAAGCGCTTAGGCTTTCTGAAAATACGATTTTTGGTCTTTTGGCTCTCAATGTCCGATTACAAATTATAACCATTCTGTTGCTAGGGGAAGCGTTTTTAACCACCAACGCTACAAATGGCTGCTGGACTCTATAGCTTAGGTACCATTATACTAGAGCTCAGGGCATCAAACCAGCTCCAAGTTCTGGGGACAAAACATCCACCAGAGCAGACTCCATCTCTGTCTCCTGTTGCTGTATTGGACTAACATGAAAGAGAGTCTGGGGTTGCAGAAAGGGGCGCTGAAGATGGCTTAAGAGAACCGAGATCATGGTGCTCGCTGAGTTAGCCAGTGCTTCGGTGCCAGTAGAAGCTGCTTGGTTATACAGTCCTCTTCACAGTGGCCATGGAGAAAGGGCGGAACCATCCCTTTACTCAGCGTCAGGACATGATGAGTTGAGTGGTTTCCTCTCCTTCCACTTGCTCTGTGAGCAGAACCACTCTACCTGAGGGCTGTGGTCCAGGGGACACAAGCTAAAGGTGTGTTGTATGCTGCATACGCTGTGGGCAGCCCTGTGATTGTAGGCACAACAGGAGTGGAGACAGGGAGAGGGATACAAAAACGTGTTGCTTAATGCTACCTGATCATGCTGGGTTTCCAGGAAATTCCCTGCTTTGTCAGGTGGGTTTGTCTGCTGGTTTTGTGTTGCTGTGTCAAACCACACCCATGGGCTTGCTGCTCGCTACTTGCTGATTGTCTGGGGACTCAACACAGTGATGTTTTTCATCCATCCATCCTGCATGCAGAGAGCTACCTTGAAGTTACACAGAAATTGGGACACTAGCCTGGAGTGACTTCCCTGTGATCTCTTTTGGGAATCCCTGAAAACACATGCAGGTTCTTCAAAGACAGGAGGGGAAATAGTGTTGCAGGAGGGAGATTTAGCCTGGGCAGCAGGAGGTGAGGTTCATTTACCTGAATATCCACCATCCTTGCAGCAGGTGTCCATCCTCAAATGGTTGCTGGTCTGCAACCCTGAATCACTGAGTGACAGGGGATGTATCTCCCTCTGGAAGAGGTTTGTCTGCCCCTTCTCTATCCTTCCCCATTAACCAAGGTGGATCCTACAGCTACTAGTGGGTGAGATTCGTGTTTTCCTTGTCTTGGGAAGAGTGCTCTGACAGTAAAGATTGGCAATCCGCTGCAGCACTTTGCTGGGGAGGTTTGGAGCCACCACCCTTGGAGGTCAGTGAGAACAGGTTTGATGCGTTTCCCATCAGCAATAATTCAGGTTGAGGTGATGTTACTGGGGGAACAGGTCAGTGAGTTCTTGACATCCCCCTGAGCTGCGGTTCTGCGATCTCTCAAACCCTGCTATCCTTCCTTACGAAGTAAAAGGATTTAAAAGCTAAGTCAGGTAGTCATTTGCCAGTGATGGAGCTGTTGGTAGGTGCAGGTGTGCAGGGGCTGAAAGAGGGCAGGTTTATTTGAGCAGGTGCAGGTTGCTGAGTTTCCCCCATTGCCTGTACAGCCAAATCCAGCATTTCCTGTGTGTGTTTGCTGACCTCGGGCTTGTACTTGCCTGTCTTGGGCTTATTTGAAAATGACAACAGCAAGAGCAGGACAAAAAATCACTTCTAAACTTTATCACAGAACATGTTTCCAGGGGATCCATCTATAGATATGTATGCTCTACAGTTGACACATTTACATCTTTGGTAGATTATACTACTACATTCTTAGCCTGGTTGCTTTTTCTGGACTATAATACCATATATCCCATGCGGGCTGGAGTATTTTTCTATGAAACACCGCAGATATCAAACAGTCCTTCTGGGTGATTCCTTAGTGGTTCCAGCAACGTAGGGACCTCCTGAGTCAGTAGCTACATGGAGGATGGTGTGCTTGATCCTTCGTGATGTTCCTGTCTGCCATGAGGTTGTCCGGTTATTTATGAATGTATTTCAGTTTTGGCCTCCGACAACCCGTGGGTGTGAGCTCCACTTTTTGAGGAGGCTCTGCGAAAAAGGATGCTCTCCTGATTGCTTTAACCCCGTTACCTGATGACTGGAGGTACCCCACAACGGCAGTGGTGAACGGCTGCTTCTCTAGGATTTAGCATTTGCAGAGAAGAAGCTGCCACTTCATGTGCAGGCGTGGGGAGTGGGGGCTGTCACCTTTGTTGAGAATTGGATCTTGGAGTTTGATTCCTCTCCTGGCAGAAGATGGCTCTTGGTTTGTGTCCCTCCTGTCATCTCTCTGCCTTGGTTTTCCTTTCTGTAAAATAGGCAGGCTTTGAGCCCAGGGTTGAAGATGGCACTGTGTAGGCGAAGTTGCTCTCTGTGTGTGTCTCTTTATTCTCTGTGCCTGGTAGCATATTTTGCTTGGAAATTGCCCATTTTTAGACCCACAGGACAGCAGGAAGTGCCTAAATCCTTCCTTTTGAGTTTTCTTACTTTAGCCAATTTATAGCAGACGTCATTTTTTTTTTTTAAGAGGCAACTTTAAGACAAAATAGTCCAATCCTTCCTGGCACCATGTGAGCCCTAACGACTTCTCAACATCTCGGCTCTCGTTAATGTATTTTTCAAACTACTACCCCAAGTGATTAGCCTGTATTGTGGATCAATCACTTGCCAAATTTTAATTAAGAAAGGAGGAGAAAAAATAAACTCCATCCTGGTTCCAGCCCCTTTGCTTTGCTTTGTAACAGCCCTGGAGCAAACTTCTTGCAGCAGAGTTTTATAAACCACTCAAAACTGGGGTTTATAATGGAAAAGCTGAGGTGGCCTTTACTCTAGCACACGCAGCTATAACACATCAAGGCTTTTCCATGAAGCTATGATGAAAGGAGCAGAAGGACCTGGAAAAAAAAAAGAAAGAAATGGCCGACAGGTGGGACTTATTATTCCACAGCATTTTTATTTCAAGGGAAAAGTTTAGTAACCCCAGCTGGCAGGTGAGCAGTGGGGGAGCAAATGCTTTTTCATTGTGCCTGTGCCAGCATGTGTGTGTGTGTACAAGCTTATGTGCCTCTCTACAAGAGAGGTGAGCTTAAACGCTAGTGCCAATAAATGTTGTACACCTACACCAAAAAGCCAGATGTAAGGAACAAGGTCCTGAGCGATTTCAATCTAAAAAGAAAAAATCAGGACTTAGTTCTGAATTTAACACACATGCTTATGTGTGAAGAGGATGACAGTGTTTGGTTTTTTTAAAAAAAGAAAAGAGAAAAGAAAAAGGCTTCCCCAAGGGTCCACAGTCATTACTTTTTCTTGAACTGTTTAATACCAAGCATAAATATGAAGGAGACCAGAGACCTGGACCTGGCACGGCACGCGCAGTCAGCCTGCGCGGCGCTCAGGCCAGGCTGCTGAAGGTCTCTTGGATGCTGTTGTTCCCTCCAGTGTACCTGGGCTTCAGAGCTCAAGATGAGCTGCCCTCCCAGTGTGCAGGTGAAGCAACGTCTACCACTGCGCTCAATCAACCTGGAATCATGTAACTTTTGCAGAAAATGGGTCAAGCTACATTTGGTTGTGTTCTGCCTTCTGGCGTGGTCGAAAACTTGGCCCTGGCTGCCCATGTGCAGCTCTCAGCCTTAGGTGGAAAG